CCCAGCCAGTTTTGCCATCTTAACAGTAGCTTGCTTATGCCAGCAGCAAAGCAGCCTGGAGATCTAGTAGCAATGAAATCACGAAAGGTATTTTTCACAGCTTGTTGAGAATTGAATATTTTTCCTTGCAAGAAGTGGTCCAAAGCCTGGAAGAAGTGGTATCATTTGGTACAAGGTCTGGTGAATATGGTGTGGCAGAGAGTTTCTAAGTCCAGCTTCTGTGGTTTGAACAGCATTGTTTTTTATAACATGTGATCTTGTAAGAGGATTGACCTGTCTCTATTGACCAATCTTGGCTCTTTAATCACAAGCATCCTCATCATTTCATTCAATTGGTTGCAGAAGACATATGCTGTAATCAATTGACTAAGTTTCAAGAAGCTATAGTGGATAACACCAGTGCTGGACCACCAAACAGACACCATTAGCTTTTTTTGATGACTTTGCGGTTTGGGACTGTGTTTTGGCACTTCATCTTTATCCAACCATTGTGCTGAACACTTTTGATTGTCAAAAAGAATCCATTTTTCATTACATGTAATAATATGGTGTAGAAATGGTTTGCCTTTATGTCATGATAGCAAAGAAAGGCAAGCTTGGAGACAATTGTTTCTTCTGACACTTGTTTAATTCATGCAGTATCCATCTATGCAGCTTCTTTACCTTGTCCATTTGTTTCAAATGGTCCACTGCTGTTGGAGTAGTAATGTCAAACCCTGCTCCTAATTCATGTGTAGGTTGAGATGGATTCACTTCCATTACAGCTTCCAGCTCGTCATTATCCACCTTGGTCTTGGGTCACCCGCATGGCTCAATTTCAAGATTAAAATCACCAGAATGAAACTTCTCAAAGCATCGATGTTCCATTTGTTCATTAGCCACATCCTTCCCAAATGCTTCATTGATATTTTGAGCTGTCTCAGCTGCATTGGTTCCACAACGGAACTCACATTCAAAAATAATGTTGATTCTACCGATCCATGAGCATGGTATGGTTTTCCGTCTGTTTATATCCTCTGCTATTTCTTTTCTCGGTGTTTCATAATTCTCCCTGTAGAGGTCTTTCACTTACTTAGTTAAATATATTCCTAGGTATTTTATTTTCTTTGTTGCTATTGTGAAAGGTATTGAGTCTTTGATTTGGTTCTGAGCTTGACTGTTGTTGGTGTATATGAATGCTACTGATTTGTGTACATTGATTTTGTAACCTCAGACTTTGCTGAATTGATTTATCAATTCTAGTAGTCTTTTGGCAGAATCTTTGGGGTTTTCTAGATATAAGATCATATTGTCAGCAAAGAATGATAGTTTGACCTCTTCTGCCCCTGTTTGGATACCCTCGATTTCCTTCTTTTGTCTGATTGCTCTGGCTAGGACTTCCAGCGCTGTGTTGAATAGAAGTGGTGATAGCAGGCAACCTTGTCTGGTTCCAGTTCTAAGTGGGAATGCTTTCAATTTTTCCCTGTTCAATATGATGTTGGCTGTAGGTTTGTTGTATGTGGCTTTTATCATTTTAAGGTAAGTGTCGTTTATGCCTCTTTTGTTAAGCGTTTTTATCATAAAAGGATGCTAGGCCAGGCACGATGGCTCACGCCTGTAATCCTAGCACTCTGGGAGGCCAAGGTGGGAGGATCTCTTGAGCTTAGAAGTTCAAGACCAGCCTGAGATAGAGCAAGACCCTGTCTCTACTAAAAATAGAAAAATTAGCTGGGCATGGTGGTGTGCACCTGTAGTCCCAGCTACTCGGGAGGCTGAGGCAGGAGGATTTCAAGCTCAGTAGTTTGAGGTTGCTGTGAGCTAGGCTGACGCCACAGCACTCTAGCCCAGGTGACAGAGTGAGACTCTGTCTCAGAAAGAAAAAGAAAAAGAAAAAAAGGTGCTGAATTTTGCCAAATGCTTTTTCTGTGTCTATTGAGAGGATCATATGGTCTTTGTTTTTACTTCTATTTATAAATTACATTTATAGATTTGTGTATGTTGAACCATCCCTGCATTTCTGGGATGAAGCCCACTTGGTTTTGATGAATTATTTTTAGATGAGCAGCTGAATTCAGTTTGCTAGGATTTTATCGAGAATTTTTGCATCTGTATTCATAAGGGATATTGGTCTGTAGTTTTCTTTCCTTCTTTCTTTTCTTTCTTTCTTTCTTTCTTTCTCTCTCTCTCTCTCTCCTGGCTTTGGTATTAAGGTGATGCTGGCTTCGTAAAATGTGTTGGGGAGGAGTCCTTCCTTTTCTACATTATGGAATAATTTCTGTAGGCTAGGTACCAGTTCTTTGTAGGTCTGGTAAAATTCAGCTGTGAAACCATCTGATCTGGGACTTTTTTTGTTGGAAGATTTTTTATTGCTGCTTCAATTTCATTACTTGATATTTGTCTGTTCAGGGATTCTATTTCTTCCTAATTAAGCTTAGGGAGCCTGTGTGTTTCTAAGAATTTGTCTATTTCCTCCATATTTTCAAGTTTATGTGCATATTGATTTTTATAGTATTCAGAGATGATATTTTGTGTTTCCATGATATCAGCTGTAATTTCTCCTTTTTCATTCCTGATTGAGCTTATTAGAGTCTTTTCTTTGCTGCTTCTGGTTAATCTAGTAAGAGGCCTGTCAGTTTTGTTTATCTTTTCAAAGAACCAATTTTTGTTTCATTAATCTTCTGTATAGTTCTTTTTTAGTGATTTCATTTAGTTCTGCTCTGATCTTGGTTATTTCTTTTCTTCTGCTGCATTTGGTATTGGTTTTCTCATCCTTTTCCAGTTCCTTGAGACAATGATTCATTAGATTGTTGATTTGTGATCTTTCGTCTTTTGGATATAGGTATTTATGGCTATGAATTTTCCTCTCAGGACTGCTTTAGCTGTATCCCACAGATTTCTGATAACTTTTGTCCCCTTTATCATTTAGTTCAAAGAATCTTTTGATTTCCATCTTAATTTCCTCCTTGACCCAACTATTGTTCAGCAGTAGGTTATTTAGCTTCCATGACTTTGTGTAGAGATGAATGTTTCTGTTGGAGTTGATTTCTAATTTCATTCCACTGTGGTCTGAGAAAATACATGGTATAATTCCTATTTTTTTAAATTTGTTGAGACACGTTTTGTGGCCTAGGATGTGATCAATCTTAAAGGATGTTCCATGAGCTGATGAGAAGAACGTATATTTGGTGGTTTGGGGGTAGAATGTTCTGTAAATGTCTGTTAGGCCCATTTGTTCTAGAGTTCTGTTGAAGTCCATTGTTTCTTTGTTTATTTTCTGTTTGGAGGATCTGTCCTGTTCTGTCAGAGGAGTGTTGAAGTCCCTGGCTATTATGGTGCTGCTGTTTATCATTTTGTTTAGATCCATAGGATTTGCTTTATGAATCTGAGTGCACCTGTGTTAGGTGTGTAAATATCTAGAATTATTATGTCATCTTGTTGAATTGTTCCCTTTACCATTATATGATGACCATCCTTGTCTTTCATTACTTTTGTTAATTTGAAGTCTATCTCATCTGACATGAGAACTGCTACACTAGATTTCTTTTGGTTTCCATTTGCATGGAATATTGTTTTCCATCACTTCACCTTGAGTCTGAATGAGTCCTTGTGGGTTCGATGTGTTTCCTGGAGACAGTAGATACTTGGCTTGTATTTTTTTATCCATTCAACCAGCCTATGTCTTTTCAGTGGGCAGTTCAAGCCATTCACATTTATTGAAAGAAGTGATATGTGGGGTGGATTTCTGTTCCTCCTGTTGAGTAGAACTTTGTTGCTTTTTTTTTTTTTTTTAATTTCTTGAGCCATTATGGTATCTGGGCTTTGACCTTTAGCTTTTGGATAATTTTACACTGGTAGGTGTCTATTGTTCTGATCTGTGTATAATGCAGTTCTGAGTACTTCCTGCAGGGCAGATCTTTTCTTGACAAATTCCCTTAGTGTTTGCCTAGGAACACTCATACACTGCTGGTAAGACAGCAAACTAGTACAACCTCTATGGAAAGTAGTACGGAGATACCTCAAAGAACTAAAAGTAGAACTATCATTTGATCCAGCAATCCCATTACTGGGTATTTACCCAAAGGGAAAAAAAAGACATTCTGTAAAAAAGACACCTGCTCTAGAATGTTTATAGCAGCACAATTCACAATTGCAAATATGTGGAAACAACCCAAGTGCCCATCAAATCATGAGTGGATTAATAAAATATGGTATATGTATACCATGGAGTACTACTCAGCCATAAAAAATAAATGGTGAACCTCTTATATTAACATGGATGGAACTGGACATCATTCTAAGTGCAGTGTCACAAGAACGGAAAAACAAATATCACATGTACTCACCACTAAATTGAAACTAATCAATCAATACTTATGTGCACATATGGAAGTAACATTCATCAGAAATTAAGAAGGTGGGTC